CTGGAAGACACGAGATTCTGCCCTGGACCTGAAATGGCCACCAGGCTCTTCTTCTGTGTGGTCCTTTGTCTCCTGTGGGCAGGTGAGTCCAGGTGAGTCCCTTCCCTGGAATTCCAAGACTCAGTACAAGCCTTCCTCTTAGGATGACGACGTCAGGCTCTGTCACTTTCTATTACAGGACACATGGATGCCGGAATCACCCAGAGCCCAAGATACAAGGTCACAGGGACAGGAAAGGAGGTGACTCTGAGATGTCTCCAGACTGAGAACCATAGCTACATGTACTGGTATCGACAAGACCCGGGCCATGGGCTGAGGCTGATCTATTACTCAGTTGGTACTAGTATCAACAAAGGAGATGTCCCCAACGGGTACAGTGTCTCCAGATCAAACACAGAGAACTTCCTCCTCACGCTGGAGTCAGCTACCCTCTCCCAGACATCTGTGTACTTCTGTGCCAGCAGTGACTCCACAGCGCTGCACAGCCCCCTCCTCTCTGCACAAAAAGGCATGGGGAGACCCTGCACCCCAGACTCAGCGGAGCCTGTGCAGCCTCAACTCCCACCCTGGGAGCCTTGGAGCCCTGAGTGGCCTGTGCATACAGGGTGAACCTCGGTGTGTGCCGAGGTCCATCTTCAGGGCAGTGTCTGCCAGGCCTGCACTGGTTCCAGGGCCTCGGGCAGCCACGTCTCCACCGATGCTGCCTGTCTGTCCTCTGCAGCTGCCAGTTAGCAGGGAAGGGGCTTCCCCAGCTCTGGCTTTTCTAGTCATTAGCCTGAGTCTGATGCCTCCAGGATGGAAAATCTTTGGTAATTTAGATCCACCTAGATCCCCCTGTCTCTCGATGGGCACCCCTTTTCTGTCTCTCTCTAAGGCCCTCCCTCAGCCCTCATTCTCATTGGTCTCTACTCCTGTCCATCTTCCCCATCCAGGGCAGCCGCCGTACAAGGCCCTGCTGGTCTCCTCTGGCCACCTCCGTGGCCCCAGCGTGCACAGCTCACCCAGCGCTCTCCTGTTCCAGCCATGCTGCTCAATCTCTCATCTGTGCAATCATGTCCCTTCCCACCTGAGAGGCTAGCTCTTCTGCACAGGACATAAATATGGATGTATAAAAAATATTGCTTCAGGGCCGTCCGAGTGGCACGATGGTTAAGAACTGGGTTGGGATGCCAGAGGGTCCCGGTTCGGATCCCACATATGAAGGCCAGTGACACTGTCCTCCACAGCTAAGATGCTGAACAACGGCTCAACCTGGAGCTGGGCTGCTGTGCGTCGCCGGTGACGGAGTAGGCTGCAGCCCCTGTGGCACTGGGTTGCCATGGGCTACCGTGTGTGGCCAGCAGCCAGCATGAGTGGCCAGCAGCCGCAGTGTGCGGCCGTCCAGAAGCCGGCGACTGATCTGCCTCGCCCGGGAAGAGCGCAATGATGGTGCCAACTTGGGCCAGTGAA